CCCCTGGTTCTTCATCAATTACAACTTTCTGCATCAGGAGAAGAGTCTCTCAGAAATCGAGAAAGTCCTGATATTTTGAATCTGAAAAGCACAAGTGAAACAGTTACAGGATCAGAATCAGAAGAATTTCTCAAACCCCAAGAGAACTATAATATTTCGAAAAGTAGTGAAACACATACTGCATCAGAAACTGAAGAGTTCACGAAAAATCTGGAGGATCCTGAGGTTTTGAGTGAAACAAGCAGAATATTTACTGCTTCAGAAACAGGAGTTAATGTTTTTCATCCAGGAATAGTACTGGCATATCTAGAAAGTGAGTAAAACTGATATCTCCAAAATAAGTGAAACATCAACCTTCCACCCATATCATCAAAATATAAGTATGTTTCAATATTCAGTGCTGTACTGATTTTTCTAAAATCTACATGGGATTACTTACCTGAAATCATCTTGTTTTTTTTTAACAAGATATCATTTTCAGGTTACAGAGACGAGTTTATTTTGGTGATTGTTCCACTAATGATATGGGCAGCCCAAGAAAGGCTAGACAAAATTGCCAAATCGCTAAAAAAACAGTGGCATCTCAAAGAAAAAAGATCAGAAATCTTCAACAAGTGAAAAGAAGATTAAAGGACAGAATATCTTGCTTGAGTTCACTAGTTGATTTACTCAAAAGAGAGAAGAGAGAAGATGCTGAAAGTACTATTGAGGTGAGTTGAACTTATATCGATACCACAAGTTTGAGAAAAGTAAAATGATCAGGAACTTTTACAAATTGTTTTCTAGTTAAAACTATTTTAGATAGACAGGTAATCTGCTAAATTATCAATTTCAATTTTAGGCTTCTATACCTGGAACCTCAAGGAAAAATTTCAAGAGATTGCTGAAAGGACAGACAAGACAAAAGTTTACTCCTGTACTTAGAGCTTTTGCTTTGACACTAAGCTTTCACTCTACCAAAGCATATAATTATGTTAGAGATACCTTCAATAAAACCCTTCCTCATACCAGCACTATAAGCAAATGGTATATATGTACAGTCGCATTCAAAAAAAAAGCGTACAAGTATATTACAGAGAGAAATTAACGTCATCCTATTCTGCATAAAACGGGCTATCGGGAATGATTCTTCACCAAATGTTTACAGTAAAGTTGTCATAGGTTTTCGAAACCACAAAGCATTGGCTGAGCCAGTTTTACACAACTAGAACTAGGATCCCGAAATCCTCTCTTCTTAATGCTTGTACGCTTTTTTATTGAATACGACTGTATCAGTGGTGAACCTGGCTTCAGTGAAGAAACTTCAAAAGCTGTGAAATCGAAAGTAGCAGAACTTGCTGGGAAAAATCAGAAGGTTTGATGTAATCTTGTGATGGATGAGATGGCTATCATGAAGCGAACAGAGTGGACAGGGACAGAATTTGTTGGTGGAACTAAAGACAGAATTGACATTGGTGTTAATCTTAGTGGGGTGCACTTACCTGAAGTTAAAGAAGCTCTTGTTTTTATGATGGTTTCAATTAATGGAAATTGGAAAGTACCTGTTGGTTACCTGCTCGTAAATGGTTTGAACGGTACAGAAAAAGCAAATGTTGTATTAAAGCTCCTAGAATTTTTACACGATAGTGGAGCAATTATAACATCCCTAACCTTCGATGGAGCTCCATCAAACTTTAGTATGGCATCAATCTTAGGGGCAGATATGACACCATCCTCTGAGAATACATTTTTCAACCATCCAGTTACCAATGACAAAATATTCATTTTTCCTGATATATGTCACAAGTTGAAATTGGTAAGAAATTGTATTGGTGACAAATTAAATTTCGTGGATAACGAAGATAATACAATTTCTTGGCTATATTTGAAAAAGCTAGAGGAAGTACAGACTGAAGAGGGGTTATTGGCAGGAACAAAACTGAGAAAAAGACACATACAATATTCCAGAGAAAAAAGGAAAGTTAAGTTAGCTGCACAAACATTCAGTAACAGTGTAGCTGATGCTTTCATCTTTCTTCGTGATGATATGAAAATGGAAGATTTTAAAGATGTTGTAGCCACTGCGAAATTTATAAAATTATTTAATGACATTCGATATTTTCAATTCACGCAGTCGTTATTCAAGTGATTTTCCGTCAATCACTTTCGATGGAAGTTGTGGAAAAAGTGTTTGGTGTTTCAAATGACTGTAAGATTTACATATCAAATTCAACTTTAGATGGGGAATTGGTGGTGAGAACCAACAGAAAAATTGGGTTTTAAGGATTTTTAATAAGTATTTCCAGTTTGGAATGTTTTTTTTATAAGAAATATGTTGTTGAAACTCCTTTACTGAAATATGTATTAACATATAAGTTTTCACAGGATCATTTAGAAATATTTTTCAGTATTGTGAGGAGTAAAGGCGGATCGAATAATAATCCGACAGCGTAACAATTTAAGTATATTTTCAAGAGGTTACTAATCCATGCTGAATTAAAATGTAGTCAGCATGTAAATTCTATTGCAATAGATAATACCAGTATTTTGCATTGTAGTTCTGCTAGTAGTATTTCTAAATCATCAACTGGAGATGATCTCAATTCAAAAGCTTATTTAGATTCAAATAAAGACATCCTTGAGTTGAAATATATATCTTCTCCGGCTTGGCATCTATCACCTTATTGTGCAGATGTGGTGCGGTATATATCTGGATTTGTTGTGAAGAATTTGCAAAAAATGTATTGTTTGTTCAGTTTGTTTGAGTATCTTGGGAGCAGATGAATCGATGTCTCATCTTTAAAACAGAAAAAAATATGGAAATCTCACAAATGCATCCAAGTTTGTCATTCAAATTTGCCAAACTGCAGAAAAGTGTCTGAAAGTTTTCATAAATGAATCAAATGTATTCAATCAAAATTATAAAGACGTTTCTGCTATCCTAATACACAAGGCCATAAACAATTTACCATTAAGTATTTTTGAAGCATTTGTTGATAATCTTTATGATGACCCTATGCAAGACCATCCGATAGGACTTTTGAGGATGATTTTATCAAAATATATAAATATCAGGCTACATCATGAAGCTTCAAAATTGAAAGACGGAGTTCAAGCTAGAGTGAGGAGCATGCTCACCAAAACCACAATATTCAGAAACCAATGAAACATTTTCACCTGGTTTCTATTGATCTAATTTTTTTGTCGTCAATAATAACTTATTGAATATGACGTTCACCGTATTATTTTATTATACCTACTATGTATATATTTGATCACTGTGTGAAAACACTATTCAGAAATTGTATCTACTTAACATGTGAATAAAACGTTAAAATTGGCCCCGAGGTTTTATTCATATTTGGCGAATGGATAATGACCTTATTATTTATATAGAAATTACGTCCACGATTTACTATCTAGACGACATAAATAATAATAATAAAGACACAGCAGGTGAGTGATATATTTTCTTGCTGCCGCTGAAGAAGTCAAACCTCATCTTATATGTTGTGATTGAAAATGTCATGATTACATTTTCGAAATGCTGGAAATTGCAATTAGCAACACAGTGAACATCTGTGAGCAAAAGTATATTTTGTATATCATGCGAGCGTGAATTGAGTGATTTAGTATCATTATTATTTTCGAATTCAATGTGACCATATTAAAATTAAACTGTACGCCTATGCTGCTGGAGGCCCGATGACGTTTATTATTCTCCCACCATACAACTCTGTGGTGAAAGAATGGGTATTTCTCATCTATCCATTTTGATGATCTAAGGTTTATTCATATACAGTATGTCTCACTTCTAATGGAAACACCCCTGTATCTCACGTTATCGTTAGGTAATAATCCTGAAAGCTTGAGCGGGAGATATACTAAAAATGCACTCTATCATCAAGTAGGTGACATCTTCAGTGATATACACTACTCGCCAACAGCCATGGAACCACACCAATTTCCGTAAAATGATATTGGGATGCAAAATAGGTTGAAAATCACTTTGGATTCGAAATCAGGACGCCCAATCAAGTAACTATCCATATTTTTCCTGAAAAAATTTTCAGTTCTGAAAAATTCATTTTAGTCTCACTTTTCATGGAAACACCCTCGTATCTGACGAAATCGTTGGGTTACGATCCTGAAGTTTGCTGGAGCGAGAGATTTACCAAAAATGCATTTTATGACCAGGTGGGGTCATCTTCAGTGATATACACTGCTCGCCAACAGCCATGGAACCACCCCAATTTCCTGGAAAATGATATTGGGAGTCGAAATAGGTTAAAATCACTCCGTATTCGGAATCAGGGAAGCCACTTATTTCCACCCGGTTTATAAAGCACTCACCAGCAAAGAGAAACCTTGATTACTAAAAACAAACGAAAAGCAGACCTCCTATAGATGTAGTCAATAGACAATAACGAATATGCCCTCCTCGAACTTGAATTACAGCATCCAACCGCCATGGCATCGAGTTCATCGAATTTCTCATCAACAGCTTTGAGGAATGAGGTTGTACACTCTAATCGAATTCACGCCACATACCTATTTTATATTGATCAGTCTGTAAAAGACGCCCGGTATACATGGTGCGATAGTTCAACACAAGAAGTTGTATAACGCCTACTTATCCCGAAATGTGGAGAAGAATGATGCGAAGGGAATTATTAGTCAGTCTCTGCCTGATCACGACGGTGACAGGAGTTATTTTTGTAATATTAAATTGTTAGCAGATGGTGGTGATTCGTTTGTGATTAAAGTATTAACAGTGTCAAAGTGTTATCATTCGTCCAGTGAAATTCTTCACAGAAAGCAGCGGCGGGATTGGCCCTCGTGCAGTAGTTTAAAGACAATTTGTGTATAGTTCCTAGTGTATAGTGTATAGTATATTCCGGAGTGAACTATATCGTGATCATTTAAGTGAAACAGAAGGCGTGTAACGTATAACCACGCACTCTTTAGTTCCCTATTGAAAGTAAAGGTTCAATTAACGTAAAAATTGACCTTTATAGAAGATGGGCCGCCGCAGACGTAGGTCAAGCTCGAGCTCTAATTCGACTTCAAGTTTTAGCTCGTCCAGCAGTGAGTACAACAATTATAAGCGTAGTAAAAAGAGTCGTACACAGAATGGTGAGAAAAAGTCAGCAAACAGCACTAATGTTCGGGCAATAGTTCACAGTGCACCATCTAGACTGATAAACTTGCCTCGTAACATTACGAAAGGAAATGAGCTTCCAGTTCGCCGAAGAGAACCTACTTCTGGAATAATGCTTGCTTCAGAGACACCTACTCATTCTGAATCGACAACAACTGCTACATCAGATAGAGTAGAACGCCTGGAAGCTCTAGTAGAAAAATTACTAGAATACCAATCACACCAGTCTTCAGTTAAGCATCGGACATTTATCAAAGCTGACTGCATACCTGAGTTCATACCTGGGAATCCAATTTTAACGTCGTCAAGGTGGATAGAAAAAATCGAACAGCTTGGGTGTATTAATAATTGGGACGAGGCCACGATGATTTTTCACATGCAAAGTCGATTGGCCGGACTGGCTCGTAAATGGTATGACAACCTTAAAACATATCAGATGAACTGGTTGGAATGGAAAGATCTCGTAGTGAAAACGTTTCCAGACCATCACGATTTTGCCAATACCTTGAAAAGAATGATGGAAAGATACAAACTCAAATCCGAGTCTTGGGAGTGTTATTATTTCGAGAAAATGGAATTGCTGGGTGCATGTGAAATTTCCGGTAAAAAGGCTGTCTCCTGTTTGATCGATGGAATTCGAGATCAGAGCATACAAGCGGGTGCGAGAGCTGGTAGATACGAATCTCCGGACGCTCTCTACGCTGAATATCTGTCTACTCTTAGGTATGAGGACTCGCATGCTCCCTCTAATTCCAGTGGTCCTACGAAGTACTCAGCAACGTCGAGTCGTATCAGAGATGATAGAAAACATCGAAAAAAATCAACAGCCGTAACAATGCAAAAATGCTATAACTGTAAACAAAAAGGTCATTTCTCTAATGAATGTCTCCAACCAAAAGTGGAATGTTTCAAATGCAAGCGGCTTGGACATGTGGCCAAAGACTGTTGAAGAAATCCTATACAAAATCGAATTTTAGAACAATCAAGAGCTACAACAAGCTACAATGATAAATACTTTTTCGATTGTTATGTCAATGGAAACAAGACTCGTGCATACGTTGATTCTGGCTGTGGTATAGTGCTCATCAGAAAAACCGACAGTTATGAAATGAGTTTGAATTGCAAACCTACCAAATTGACGATATCGGGATATGGAGGTACAATCATTCATGCTGTTGGAGAGACGGAAGTGAACATCAAGATCGATCGAGCTGAAGGAAATGTTAATGCTCTCATCGTTCCAGATCACCTGCAACAAATTCCCGTTATGATTGGTCAGAATTTCTTGAATCAACCTCAAGTTATGATGTTGATATCAGGAGATAAAGTGCGTCTGCTATCGACTGATGATGATTTCAGTAATGCTCTCGATACACCACCAAGAAAAATACCATTATGGGCGAAGGAATACCACCGAGGACTGTTGCAGTAGTGAGAGTTTCTTCAAGGGGCGTCCCATGTGGCAACGTATATGTTCAAGGAGGAATGAGACCAATTCCTGGGAAAGAACATTTCGTCCAGGGATGTATAACAAATGGAGAAAACGGATTTGTAGCTATAGCGAATGTATCTCCGCATAAGCTCGAGGTGAGTGATAATAAAGTTTTGGCTAGGGCTGTCTATTGTCTAGAAAATGATTTCGTTTCCTCTAGGAATATTGCTTTATCTGTTACCGTACAGAGTTCCAATTTGTTTTCCATCGGGGATTTTTCGTCTAATGATAACCTCGATTCAGAACAAAACAATCGTCTGATAGATTTGCTAAATGAATTCAGATGTTGTTTTGCTCAAAATACTAGTGAACTGGGCAAAACGGACATCCTAAAGATGCAAATACATCTACACGACGATAGACCAGTAATTTATAGGCCATATCGTCTTTCGCACAATGAACGAAAAATTGTGCAAACTGTAGTAGATGATTTGCTTCAGAATGGAATTATAAGAGAATCATACTCACCATACTCGAGCCAAAAAGAATGGTGAACCACGTATGTGTGTAGATTATAGAGCTTTGAATTCGAAGACAATAAAAGATAGGTTCCCACTTCCCCGTGTTGATGAATTTTTAGAGAAATTGAAAGATTGTAAGTATTTCACGAGCCTTGATCTTGCAAGTGGATATCACCAGATTCAAATGGAGGAATCTTCGATACCAAAGACGGCATTCGTTACGCCTGATGGGCACTATGAATATACGAGAATGCCTTTCGGATTAGCTAATGCTCCTGCAGTCTTTCAAAGGACTATAAATAAGGTACTTGGGAACTCACGACATGGGAATGCATTGGCTTACATGGATGATGTCTTACTACCGGCAAAGAACTTCGATGATGGTTTGGCTAGTCTGAGAACCGTTCTCACATCAATGAAGAAAGCTGGTCTAACCTTACGTATGTCGAAATGCCATTTTTTTATGGAAAGGGTTGATTATGTAGGTCATGAGATCAGTAAAAATGGCATACAACCCGGAAGTCGAAAGACTGAGGCCGTTGCCAAATTTCCTGTACCCACTGATATCCATACAGTGCGACAATTTCTAGGGTTGGCTAGTTATTTTAGGAAAAACATAAAAAATTTCGCCATAATTGCGAGGCCTTTGACCAATTTAACGAAAAAGGACGTGCAGTTTACATGGGGCAACGAACAACGTACGGCATTCGAAACCCTCAAAGATTCACTTGTGTCCAGACCAGTGGCGGCTCCTCAGAGGAGGCAGAGGAGGCTGAGCCTCCTCAGAGATTTTCCTTAAACTGATATTATCTATACTTTCTCATTAAAAGGACACCAAAATACATAGATTTTGATTTAATTTCCTGTTTTTAGGTAAATATTTTTGAATTGGCAACAGTGCTTGCCCACGCATCACACGTTGATGCTGTAAATCACGCGTAAAATATTCAACTTGGCAACATCTATAGGAGGCTAGACTCCGTCACATTGCGCAACCAACGCGCGCATCGCGCAATGTAAATCACATGTAAATCCCCGAATAGCACGTGTTTGTTGTCGTGTCGCGACGCGAATTGCGGACAGTCGAGCGCGAATGCAGTGTTTATGTTTATGTTGGGTTATTGGTTAGGGGCTCTATAAATTTCGGAAAAATGAGTGCCTTAAAAACGATTGCGATTTAGTGGAATACTTTTTGGTGAACCCATTCAGTGCCTTGTTCTATGAAGATAAATTGATTGTGAAAAACAAACGTCCGACACCGACATTAAAAAATCTGATTGTAACAGGTAACAAACAAAATCGTTCATTCAATTCTGATAATTATAAAAAATATATCTGGCTGACGGGATCTAAGGTAAGGAATAAGCTATTTTGTTGGTACTGCGTATTATTTTCAACCGATAAATCATCATGTTGGGGACGATTAGGATATAATGATTTGAAAAATTTGCCTCGCGGATTGGATAGACACTGCAAATCACAGGAACACATCTCTTCAAATATTAAATTCAGGTTAACTGGTAAACAGAATGTCATTAAAGCTATTGATTTGGGTGAGTAGAGAGTTGTTTTTCACAATAAATCTCATCATTCAGCCTCCTCTGTCATGAAAGTCACGAGCCGCCACTGGTCCAGACCTATTCTTTCTGTGTACGATCCAGACCTCCAAGCAGAAGTCCATACGGATGCATCGAAATGGGGCATTGGGGGAATCCTACTTCAACAGCAGAGAGATAGTTCTGTTAGACCTGTCATGTACTTTTCAAGGCAAACAACAAAAGAAGAACAAAGATATCATTCTTATGAACTTGAAACCCTGGCGGTTATAAGCTCATTGAAACAATTTCGTGTTTATCTCATCGGGATACATTTCAAAGTTGTAACAGATTGCAACGCGATCAGAACAACCTTGAGCAAAAGAGATCTAATTCCTAGAATTGGAAGATGGTGGTTAGTAATACAAGAATTCACTTTCAATGTTGAGTACCGTCCAGGTCACAAGATGACCCACGTAGGCGCTCTAAGTAGAAACCCTATTTCACTCACAACATCGGATGTTGATTACGTATCAGTAAATACCGTAAACTTGAACCAAGAAGATTGGATTTTGGCTGCTCAGCTCAAGGATGGAAAATGCCAAAATATCATCGAGGTACTCTTACGTTCACCTTTAGACAATGAATATAAACAAATTCAAAGAGATTATTGTGTGGAAAACAATAGGTTGTACCGAATTGTACCAAGTGGTAAGAAATGGGTAGTGCCAAAAGTAGCTAGAAGACAGGTCGCATTACATTATCACGATGGCATTGGTCACATGTCTGTAGAGAAAACTATTTCTGCGATGTCGAAATTATACTGGTTTGCAGGAATGCGAAGATATGTTGAGAAGTACGTATCATGCTGTTTGGAGTGTATGTACAATAAGGAACCTGGTGGACGAAAACCTGGTTTATTGCACCCAATTAATAAAATTGCAGAGCCATTTGATACAATACATATCGACCATCTGGGAACATTTGTGAAATCAAAAAGAAAGAACATGTATCTCATTGTCATTGTGGAAGCTTTTACGAAATTCGTTTTCATGAAAGCGGTCCCATCAACTAAAAGCAGACCCCTAATCACGTTTCTGGATAGTGTTGTTGAGAACTTTGGCGTACCAAGGAGGATAATAACGGACCGAGGGACATGCTATACGAGAAAACAATTTGAAGAATATTGCCGTAAGTTGAACATCAAACATGTCTTGAATGCAACGGCTACTCCTAGGGCAAATGGACAAGTCCAGAGGTACAATCGTACGATTTTGGCTTCTTTCAGTGCCTGTATCGAAGAAGAGGAGAGATGGGACGAGATGGTGCCAAAAGTTCGCTGGGGATTGAATTCTACGACGAATTATTCTACTGGTAAAACACCTTACGAAGTGTTATTTGGTTATGCACCAAGGGGTGTTGCTGACGCTATATTGGCAAACGAGATATCCTTGCCACCTTCGGTCCCTAATGATATTGAGAAAATGAGGGCGGAAGTTGAACGAAGAACTAACGAAAAACAAGTCGAACGGAAGATAAGGTTTGACGAAGGACGATATAAGGGTCGCGAGTACAAAGAAGGTGACTTGGTACTGGCTCGTACTGCGATAGGAAGCAACCAAGGGCAAAGTCGCAAACTGCTTCCAAAGTATAGTGGTCCGTACCTCGTTAAGAAAATTTAAGATCACGATAGGTATGTGATAGAGGACGCAGAGGGCTCTTCTCGATCGCAGAGAAAGTATAAAGGTATCATCTCAATAGATAAGATGAAGCCTTTCGAAGTTAGAGTGAGTTCGGAGTCCGACGAGGACCATAATCCAAAAGTAACGGACTTACAAGATTCGGACTCACAGAGATCTATGAATGAAATAGATTCTTACCAAGGATAGTTCAAATCATACTCGTAGTCATAATCGTACAGCGTTGCTAGGCGTGCATATCACAAAACATTAAAATTAAAAGTATTACACATATTATGTATAGAAGATCTGTGTCTTTGATAATTTCTAAATTGTCACTATAGACCATGCGTTTGTTTTTTTTAATCATTGTTCGGACTAGCTTCCAGTTGTGAGGTGCTGTGCCCGCCTGGTAGGCACTGTGTGAAGTTGATAAGCCTCGACTTGCCTGAAACGAATTCTAAAGCAACGAATTATCAAAAAGGCATTAAGAGGACGAACTTAACGGAAAATAGTTCGAGATATATTTGTTATTTCTCAGTTGTGTGCACAACATAAGAATAGTTAGTAGACGTTGAATGATAGTAGTGTATTTTATTGTTAATCAGGCACGTACTAATATGCGATGTGTGCATGTATTTCAGGACGTCAGCGCAGTGGAAACGTCGAGTGTCATCAAATACTAACTTAGCCGCTTAGTATATTGTCAAGTGGTCGAACTTATTTTTTTTTTTCGTTTTTTTGTTCACACAGATTTGATTCGAAACTTGGTTGAGTACATC